AAAGGGATGCGGTGCTGTTAAACACTGAAACAATAACACTAGATAAGAAACACATGTTTTAGAGATTGATTGAATGGTCCGGTCAGAAACTGTTCATAATAATATAATAGTACATGTTCACATCTTTAAAGACCTGAGTGTCCCACATATCTACGGTCATTGACATGATTTCAGTGAAAGTGTGAACATGTGACCTGCTCACTGACATTTCACAACCTCAGAAACAGTTTTTGTTTAAATGTTTAAAACGCTTGAAGTAGATTTTTTTGTATTTCATGATTATATATCCCTGTGTCAGATTGTGTGTTTGTGTGTGTGTGTGTGTAACAAACGAGTAATCAGCTGCTGTTACTGGAAATGTGTCACTTCCTGTGATGAAAAGGATTTTCCCTGCAAAGGATTTAAAGCAGCAAATATGAGTTTTTCCGCAAACTTGTTTTGCTCAGTAGAGTTCAGAGACATGTTGTGATGACTTTGGACAAATAGTGTTCTGCTTTCTGTTCGTTCTTTAGACACATCAACGCACAAACGCACAAAATAGCTGCCGTCAGGGTGCTCAACAGTTTGCACGCAGTCACTTGGGACACAATATCCTCTTGTTTGTCGAGCGTCTCTCCAGTTGCGTCACTAGTGCTAAAAATACAACCCCTCCACCACCACCAACCCCCCCCTGCTTGACTCCCCCGCCCTCCCTGCCTCCCTGCCCCGCTCACTGTGAGCGTCTGATCCGCAGGAGGGGAGGGGAGCGCGAGGGGGAGGAACTCTAATCCAGGGTGTTTTACTGACTTCAGCGGGCAGCAGTGATGTCATTGTGATGTCAATGCCTGTAATTGTAATCGGGCTGCAGAGTTGATGAGTGACTGCTCGTATGCAGAGAGAGAGAGCAGAGAGAGGGAAAAGGAGACGGAGAGAAAAGAGGGAGAGAGGGAGAGAGGTTTCAGTGGAGCAGGAATAAAGAGTGTTTTCACATTGAGGTGTTCTGCTGCCGTGGGGCTGGATTATTGGAAACGAGAGATGGCTGTAACCGGGGATGAGACTGAGTCAGGTAGAGTTTCTCTCATACATATCTTCATGCGTGTGTCATGTCTGCTTGTGGTCTTGTTGTCTTTCAGGGACATGTTCATATTCATGCATGTACTGTTGTCAGCTGTTTTCCTCTAAAGTTATAAAGTTGCACCTGCAGATACATACAGAATAAAAACAAGAACACTCCTGAGACTATTTTACAACTTGCAAGAGAAAGTCCTTCATTTGTCATTTGTCCAACTGCAGCCAGGCGAACATTGCTCTCGCTCAGGAAACACTGATAAAAACATTGTGCTTCACTTCGACGTGACTTGAACTTCATGCTTTGTGACTTGGAGGAGGAAACACGTCGCAGATTGGACGGCTGCTCTTCCCGTTTCAACACAGGAGAGACGCCAGGGCACTTTAGGGTTATGTTGTAAAACAGATCTGACAAACCAAACGAGTGTTTGGTTAGTTTGCTCAACTCCGTCCCTGCCAGTGTGTATCCTGCTGCTGCCACACACACACACACACACACACAGAGTCACAGGACAATTTTGGGGACGTGACTTTTGTCCTCTGTTTTACCAGAAGTCCACAATTAACTTGTCTGAGAACTATTGTCTGCAATTTGTGGCAACCTTTGACACAAACACACAAACACACACACAAACACACACACACACCACTCCAGTGGTTGTCAGGCAGAAAGGGAGGAAGGGAGGGTAAGAAGTAAAGGGGGCGGGTGTCAGTGGGAGGGGGTGTAAGATAGTCGTCAGTTTGACGTCACTCCGGTTTCCTGGAAGAGAAGCCAAGCAGGAGAGAGAGAATGCAAAAAGGGCGAGTGAGACGCACACGCTGTCGTCAGCAGAGCCCAGAGTCACTCTGTTATCACAATGAGAGTGTGTGTGTGTGTGTGTGTGTGTGTGTGTGTGTGTGTGTGTGTGTGTGTGTGTGTGTGTGTGTCTGTACACCTGCTGTGACAGTTGTGCATGTGTGTGTGTGTGTGTGTGTGCGCGCGTGCAGGAAAGAGAAGAGTCAGAAACTTCTCAGGAACAAAGTGAAGAAGAGAAACTGAAAAGCCGAGAGACAGTTGAGTCATCGATGACTCAAACATGAACCACGAAGCTGCTTTTTACTGGTTTTTGAAGAGTCAGTGGGACTTTTACTGACACAAATGATAAACAGCCACTTATCAGTGTGAGCAGCGGTTTAGAAAGTGGTGAACACGACACCACTTCACACACACAAGTGAAACTGAGAGGCGTGGCAAGTGTTATTGTGTTTGACAACATTTAATTCACGTTTCTGACGACAACAACCATGTTGACAAAGTGGAGGTTCGTCCCTGCGCCTTGTTGAAGTGTCTCTTCAAAAAGTTCCTCCACTGCTGAGATGTCTTCCCTCTAAGCTAGAACTATTGGCTACGCTGCCCCCCCCCCACGATTTCCAGTGGTACTGCTCCGTTTTGTCAGTTTCGTCCGAATCCGTATCCGAGTATTTCTGACAGAGCCTGAAATCTGTCCCACTGACTGTAAATAAAGATGGACGACATGTCTCCACTTCTTCCTGTCGTGCAATAATAAAATGAAAATATCTCAGACAGTGGTGGTGAAGACATTCGGAGACAATTGCAATCGTGGCGTGGAGGCGAGACGTCGATACACGCGCTCGACCAATTGTCAAGTTTATCGCTGCCGTTGACGTGAAAAATTCATATTTGCGTAATAAGTGCGTTTTCGTCAATCGGTCAGCTCGTTCTGCAACACTGAGCGGAGGCGGCTGCACACAGAAACAAACACAAACACTTCGTCACAGTCAGAGGAAATTCATCTTCTCAGACAGGAAGCAGAGCGGACAAACAATGTGAGTCGCTGAGGAACATCCTCTGCTGAAATATGCACGTTTACTGAGATGTGATTGAATTAGTGAATTCTTTCATTCATCACATGTCATTATAGAGGAGGAATAATAATCCCCCCATTATAAAGTTAAGACAGTTGGAGAATTTGTAGCTCTAAGACTTTTTGTCCGTCTTCTCCCCGCAGCCGCCACAGGAGACATCCCCGCCTACCAGCTGCGGTCGCCCAACTCGGGCCTGGCGCAAAGCATCGTGATGGCTGCGTCCCCGGGCACCATGCAGAGCCCGTCGTCACAGCACGCCGAGGAGATCACCCGCAAGAGGGAAGTCAGGCTGATGAAAAACAGGTGGGTTCCCTGTAGCAAGAAAAAGTGATAGAGACGAAGGACGTTCATGTTTCAGAACATTAAGTTTGTTCAGAGTTCACAGTCACTACAAGTCTTTACAAGGATATATGAATTGCTAATGGCCTTAATTGGCTGCTTCTTCTTAGTTTTTAATCAAATTATAACTTTGAATTTTTCTCCTGAAATGAAAAAGATTGAACTGTGACTGTGTGGAATTGGAAACTTTGTCAAAAGTCTGTCGGGTGATATCAACTCTTTGTGGTTGCCGAGCGATAAATAGTGCTGTCAAGGCTTCAGCAAACTGCTTTTTTTGAGATGTGCATAAATTTGGATTGTTCATTTTTGACAAGAAAATGCTGCAGCAGGTTAATAAGAAAATAAATATGGACCATAAGGACAAATAAAAAGATCTTGTCAGCCTTAAAAAAAGGCATCTGCCATATAGGATTGTGGATAGTTTGCATTATATCTGATGGTGCTTGAATTCGGTTTTTCCTAAGAATGTATTTTCCTCCTCTTTTTGTGTCCAGGGAGGCAGCTCGTGAGTGCCGCAGGAAAAAGAAAGAGTACGTCAAATGTCTGGAAAACCGCGTGGCCGTGTTAGAAAACCAAAACAAGACCCTGATTGAAGAGCTGAAAGCACTGAAGGACATTTACTGCCACAAAGGCGAGTAGCGGCGGCTGTTTGTGGTCACGGGCTGAAGACAGTGGCGTTTTCAAACTGCTGCAGCAAAACAAACACACACAAAAAAAAAAAGAAGAAAAGAAAAGACTCTGGAACAAAAACTGCTCTGATCGTCGTCGTTTCTCTGCTCACTCAGGTTTTACAAATCCAGAAGTGTCGCGGGGAATTCAAACAGCTTGTGCTTGCCAGTTTCGCTCTCGTTCTTAATCTTGTGCTCTTTGCATGTGAAGACTCGGAGTGTCGCACACTCTTCGCTCGCTGTCGCCGCTGTGCACAGACCTGAAGCCAGCCAAACGAGAGCCGGCTGAAGAGGAGGAACAGGAAGAGGAAGATACAGGTGCTTCCCGAAAATGCACAGAGAGAAAGAAAAACCTTTTGCAGGTCAGCCAGGCAGCGACCTGGAAGTTTCAGAGTGCACAAGAAAAAAAAAAAAAAAAAAAAGCTACGCAGATCCACCACCAGCTGCAAACCAGGCAACTCTACCATGTTTACCACCCGATTACGTCATCTGTGTATTTACGCTTCTGTTGTTGGTTGTTTCATGCATTCCTTTATGCAAAAACACAATTAAGGAGAAACATCCTCCAGCGTTTTGTGATTGAAGTGAATTCCATCGACCTGTTCTCAGTTTGTATGAACACATTTGATTCGTTTGGGGATTCAAGCAAAAGACATGTTTGGCTTTTAATGCACAGAACTTCAAACGCGTGTTTCAAGCGGATGTCGAGGGGCATTAATGTGAATCCAAACCTCACTAGCAAAAGTCCAGAAGAGTCTTTTTCATCACTAAAAGCACAGGAAGGACCAAAGTGTCAGTGTGGATATGATTAGAATTTGTATTCTATTGCATTTATTTAAAGAATTTCACTCCACACGTTTATATATACATGAAGATATATATATATATATTCTAAAGAGCAAATGTTACCGATTCAAAAAAATACAATCATCAAACCTCAGTTTTGTAAGAAAACATCTTAAAATGAGGAACAGTTGTGCTTTACTCCCACGCAGGCATGATTTCGTGTTTTTTTTTCAAATGATGGATCTCCGTTGTGGAATAAAAGCGTATTTGATTATGGCTGGATATTAAAATGCTCTGTTTAAAGGGTGACGCCAACTTTCTCTGTAGTTTCTTACCTTTTATTTTCATGGGAATACATCATCTCTCGTGTTTGTGGTGGTTTCGAAGAAGCGCTTGTTGATGTAGTCGCTGTTCCACTGAATATGTTTGACTGTCAGCAGTGATGGAGAGAGCGTCTCAGTGGCAGGTAACAGCTGTTCAGCTCAATGACGACAGTGTGAATCCTCCTGTGCCGCAGCAGGTGTGATATTTACCAACTAAACGACCTGGCATCGGTTTGAATTCACACCCGAACGTCTCTTAACTTCTACACCACAGCGGGAGACGATAAGATAAGATTTTGCTTGATATCAGTTGTTCTGTCTGTAGTTGTTTTTATTTGTGTTGTCCGTCTTTTATCCTGGTGTTCCTCCCTGTTTGAATTGTAAAATCAAAACTATTTTTTTTCTGTTTGTCTAATAAAATGTTCCAATGTGACGTGGTGTCTGATTTGCAAACGTGGAAACACGAGACAGGGTTTTATGTTGGTGCAGAAAGAGGACAAAGTTACATGAAATGTTTTTTGCTCCGGCCTGTTGTTTGGTTGTTTATCAGCAGGATGACGCAAAAAAAAGTCCTGAATGATTTTCCACGAAACCTGAACGAAGGACGGGACGCAGGCCAAGAACCAACCAATGACATTTTAGTGAGGATCCGGACAAATCAAACAGATCCAGGAATGAGTTCTAATCACTTTCTCTAAAATCTGGCTTATTTCGAGGACTGATATCTACGAGTGTGCAGCTTGATTTCATTTAAGCGACCCTCGTTTTTGGAGATTCTTGTTGTTTAACTTCTCTCGTTACTTATGTCGAAGCTTGAAAACACAAACCGTGAATAGAATTTGAGCTGCACGCTCCAAACAAACACACGACTGGCATCAAGGCCAAAGTTTACAAATGTTGTTACCATTGTCGTCAGTGACTGTGTATAAAGATGAAACCTCACGACTGACGGCTGAGGCTGACTCACGACTGGTCGAGGTCACAGAACTGGAACCGATGTAACGCACCAGGTTGTGCGTTTATGTGTGTTAACGTTCAAATCTGTACATTTCAACAAAATAACATTCGACAGGACGTCATTCTGAAACCAGCGGAGATCCCGGGAGCCGGTGATTAATTTTACTTCTTGAAACCGGGGGGATGTGCATTAAAAAAAATAGTTTCCATAGCAACCCCTGGTGATACAGCATGGATCATGATGAGGTTGATGGTGATAAAAGCAGAAATGATTCTGTGCAGTGTTGAAGCTCGTAGTAACACATCAACACACACTAACACACATCTGCTTTATTTCTTCCTCTGTCACAGACTTACACATGATACACAATACTACACTACACACACACACACACACACACACACACACAGGTGTATGCATTGATAAAGGAAGAAACAGCGAAACCCTGACTCTGCTCTTTATCAACAGAAAACCTTGCAGCTCCTGAAGCTTCACTTCCTTCAACGCGCTGCTTTTCTTCATTTGATGTAATATCTTCCTCACTCTTCATCTTGTATGAGTCAAGTAATCATTGTTTATTTTATTAAAATCAAATGTGAACATTCATAATAAGTATTTTTAATTTCTCTGTCACATCGATTGCTGTTTCAAAACGGTTATATTTCATTTTCAAAATTATAAATCCAAACTTTGAATCCACCTCATTAACTCCCTCTCTCTTCTCGTTTGTGCCCCCAAAAAAAAAAATCAGAGCTGAGGTGAAAAGTGGCAGCGTGGGCGTCTGTTTAATATTTCATTTGGTTTTGTTTTTTTCTCTCCAACATCTTCATGGCCTTTTGGTCCAGTGTGGCTGCAGTGGAAATTTCCACACAGAGAAAAGAGATGAGGACTAGGACAACACAAACACAGAGTCAGTGAGCGGAGGAGGACCTCTTCTGTGCAACACACGCCACTGCAACTGAAACATCCCGTCACAACAGGAACTGACACACTGTGGAACATCCTGCTGTTTCCTGAGGTCACGTGGTCCAGATGTGCCCGGTATTATGGACTTCTTAATCCAAAGAGTACATGTCTGTGAACTTGTGCACTCATGATCCAGATTCTTGTCTCTATGCATGAGTTAGTAAAGAGATAATTCATCAACAGGCTCACATTTAAAACCAAGTTTTTCTCGTTTCTCAAGCTCCGCAAACTTATTTACAACCAGATCAATAAACACTTCTTCACTAAGTCAATGAGCAGAGCAAACTTTTATTTTGGCTCCTCTCAGATCCATACACTTGCAATCCTGCGGGCTGACCAGCAGGGGTCCCCCTTTTAATCAGGTCAAACTCTTTAAAACTTCAATTTTTCCATCATTGATTCTCTGAGGTTCGAAAAGCTTCAGAAAACTACAAACATGGAAACTTTAGACTGAGAAACAAAACTGTGCTGTTGGTATTTTCCCTCAAAACACGTCACGATTCAATTATTTAGCTTTTTTAAAAAAAAAAAAAGATCTAGACTCATTTTGGTTTAAACATCTGATTCTGGTTCTAATTAATTTATCTACAGCATCATCGGAAACATTACAAGCTGCTGAGGCCTCTTTGACATTGTTTTATAATAAATAGAATATGTATTTATTTTAAATAACTGACTTTTAACAGGTGACTCTGAATCTGATAAAGAAACACAAATATTATGTGAGATCATTTTATTGTCAGAATAAACACAAAAATAGAAATTAAACATTTTTATTCTGTTGACAAGAACTACGCGATTTTTTTTTTTTTAACTATTACGCACTTAAAATAAAAAGTGTTGCCAAAGTCACTGACTGATCCCGCGGATGTGGAGGAGCAGCCTCTTATGTTGGTGATTTAAATGAATGAAGCAGTGAATCGGCTCCTCCATCGCTCCCTCTGCTCGTTTGTAACCACCCACTTGAACCGGAACCTTTTCTCGGGGTTCGCAGCTCGCCTGTCGGTCTCTCTCTCCCTGACAGCCCGGCCACCACAGCACCCATCCCCGCAGCAGCGTGTGGCCGCTCCTCTGCGCCTGGAGCCCGGACGCGTCCTGGTTGTGTGATGCCGGGCTCAGCAGCGGCGGCTCGGTCCCGTTTACGCATCAGCTGCTCCCGGTAAAAAAAATAAATAAAAAAAAGTGACTCCTCCATCCCGTGTGACAGCTTCTCTCTCCGTGCGCGGACACCGAGGATTGACAGGAGGCTCCATGGGCGCTGCGACACGGACGCACCTGACGCGCACTCGTGATCCGCGGTGACCGGGACTCGGTGGGGGGGTCGGAGACCCAGCGTTCCTCGCTCCCATCTCGGCGGAAGTGGACGGATAACGCGCGGCCTGGCTCCGCGGGGACAGAGGGATGGGGAGCACCACCTCATGCTGCGTGTCCGCCAGCCCCAAGCTCCGCAGGAATGCCCACTCCAGGCTGGAGTCGTACCACCAGGAGTCGGACCTGAGCCGGGAGGAGACCGGGGGCAACCTGCAGCACATCAGCGACCGGGAGAACGTCGACGGTAAAAAACAAAACAAAACCATACTGGTGGTAAAGCTGTGAGCCTGAGATGAGACGATGGAGAGACACGCAAACTCAAGGATAAAGTTATAAAACGATCCTGCACTGACAGAAACACATATGATAAAGTTTTATTATACTTTTACTGTGATTCACAGTGATGGTTTCATGTCCTAACTCTAATAACAGAATGAAGTACAGCAACACTTTGGAAAAAAACCCAGAATGAAATCCAGAGAACTATTATTATAACAATATGAAGAATATATATGTAAAAAAACATCTACCTGCTAATTCCACAAGCGTCTGTCTGCCTGTATTTACCCACTTGGCATGTGTGTTGTAATTTTTGTGCCAAATTTGGACACGCCTTGCCTTCAATATAAAAATACTTTATATAAACAAGCAACCAGCGTAGATAAACCAGGTAGGATGAATGTTTTCTGCTGCACCGTTTATTTAAAGCTCTGCACACAACGTCCAGCGAGGAATAATTCTGAAGTAGCTCCGGAGCGTCAACACAGGCCAAGAGAACAAAACAACATAAAGCAGGCGCTGCACTAATAAACTTTAATATGTATTTAATACTGTGTATTACAGCCTGGTGACGGTAAACATGTGTTACTATATTTATTAGAAACACCATTACAGTCATTGGTAATCGTGAATCAATTCCATTCGTGACCTCAAAATCTGCCCCTGTCTCACATCCCGGGGAAGCTGCTGCTGCTTCTACTCGCCATCATCTGTCAGTCTGATGCCGAGAGGCTGACGCATGTGGAGCGGTCGTCAGTGCAGGCCCGGGCACACGGATTAGTCATGTGTCCATTTTGCTCCCATGTGTCCTTGCAGGGAGATGTGTGCACGGAGCTGCAGACAACATCCTGTTCACGAGGGCAGACTCCTTTGTGCTGCTCTTTGTTTTCAGCCTGCGCATGAAAGAGATTGCAACTATGGAACGCAGCCCCCTCCACTGACACATGCTAATATGCATTACAATTGAGCCTTTCACGCTGGAGAGTGTTTGCTAAATGGGCTGCCTATTTTCAGCCAACGGCCCCGCGTTACATAGGAAATTGATTTTCTGAGAAACTGTACAAGACCCTTTTTTTTTTTTTTTTTGTTCAGATTTTCTTTTACAGGAAATTTAAT